ATGGGGAGGGAGAAAGGGGGGGGGGAGAGAGAATCGCCTCAAATTGTAAATCAGTATGATATACTCACCATCTTCGAACATGTCTCTCCTGTCCAAACCTCCTAAATCCTCTCTTCTTTTATATAGGTGTTTTACGTCCTCATCGAGACAATTTATACCATTTAAGAAGCAGGCTTCCACGGCCTGTCAGGGTCAACGTAGATTGAGAGGGATGCAAGTATCCCAGCAGAAAGACAGAGATAATCGATAGAAATTCTCCATTCACGACGCCAGTCGTCATGTTGTGCCGCCATAAGCTATAAGTCAACCTTATATTACCAGTACCATTAACGAATGTGTGCTTTTATTTTTAGGTGCTGAGCATCGAAACCCCAAGCCCGCAATCCCATAATTATGGATTTTGATCCAGCTGCCAAAATGTATTTATTGTTGCTTGCCTACTGTAACATACATGAAATAAGCACACACCATTATTAAATGGGATTATTAGCATATACGATCATTAAATGGTATTACGAGCTTCACTAACATTGTTTTTCTTTCCTTGACTTTCGCAGGTGCCTGTGAAGAAACTGCTGCAGCTCAAACCAGCAGCGATGCATCAACTTCTTCTGCTTCTTCGGAGCACGCCGAGAACGAGCTGTCACGAGCAAAACGAGGCAGTTACAGAATGATGAGACTTGGCAGAGGTTTGCACATGCTCAGACTGGGGAAAAGGGGAGGGCCCGTCGAGCCTGAGAGCGAGGAAAACCTGGAAACCCTTTTGAACTTATTGCAAGGTTACTACAGTGATGTACCGGAGTATCCATCTGAATTCGACGACACTGATTTGGCCTACCCATACGAAGAATACGACGCCCCCGCCCACCCGAGATACCGGAGATCTACACCTCCTACAGACGGCGTGGTGGCACCAGACGTGCTCCAGAAGGGAAGTTCTGAATTCGAAGACTTTGGTGATTCCCAGTTGGACGAAAGTGATGAAGGTTACTATGGTTACGACCCTGAAAACTATTTGTATGGCGATTTTGAAGATTACTTGGAACCAGAAGAAGGAGGACTTGGAGAAGAGAAAAGAAGTCTGTCTATGCTGCGATTGGGAAAACGAGGACTGTCTATGCTGAGACTGGGAAAGAGAGAGGGGGAAGAAGGGGATGAAATGGACAAGAAACAAGACGAAAGCTTGAACGACGCTTTCGAAAATGATGATATCAAGAGAACCCTCTCAATGCTTCGTCTCGGCAAACGACCAATGAGCATGCTTAGATTAGGAAAACGGCCAATGAGCATGCTGCGTCTTGGAAAGCGACCAATGAGTATGTTGCGTCTCGGAAAGCGACCAATGAGTATGCTCCGACTTGGAAAGCGACCAATGAGCATGCTTCGGCTCGGAAAACGACCAATGAGCATGCTGAGACTGGGAAAGCGGCCAATGAGCATGTTGCGCCTTGGAAAACGACCAATGAGCATGCTGCGTTTGGGGAAACGACCAATGAGCATGCTCCGTCTGGGAAAGCGGCCAATGAGTATGTTGCGCCTAGGCAAACGTGATGACGATGAAAAGGAAAAGAAATCTTTGAACATGTTACGGCTCGGCAAACGGTCGACACAGTAATTTCTTAGCAAGTAATAAAGTATAATACAAGATTCCACAGTCCACCTTTTTTGTTTCAAGAAAAGAAGCTACGAAAATGTTTGTTTGTTAACCTGATTGGTTTGATGTTGTAACAGCATGTACAGAACAAACATTATGAGCTCTCATTTTAAGTACGAAGAACTGCTGATCACTTCGATGTCTTCAGAAATGTGTGCTTCTTTAAAGAAAAAGTAAGAATGACACATGGACTGATTGTGAATGTAGACTAGATACCGTCCACAGAGTTCGTTTTTCTTCAAAGATAGAAGTTGGCCCTGAAAAAAATATAATCCATGTTTGCAATGGTTGCCTGAGGGGCAAAGTTAATCATGATAAACAAACTTTTCTATAAACCATTGGAAAACCAATAAAAAAATCTACCATATAGCTTATTTTTCTTCCGAGGAGAACAAACCAATAAAACATTACGCTTCGTATCTCATAACTCAACAAGCAAAGAGAAAGTTTTACTATGTCTGGGTAGGCCTGTACTTCGAGACCTGTCATTACAATATAAAAACGTCCTATAGGGTACTTTGAGTGTGTGCTTCATGCCCTATATGACCAACTCTTTTTATTTTAATAGAAAACCAAGCACTTGTCCGGGTTTATAGAATAAAGAAGAAGAGAGGGGGAAATGACTGTTGAGCGAATACAACAAATTTTATACACATGACCTTCTGACAACAGGTGCACAAGAGTATTATTCTCCAGTAAGAGAAAGTTGCACCTCTTGCTGGCCTATATTTGCACCTATGAAGACCAAATGCATGTGTAATTTAATAAAGCCATCTAATGAAAAGGCAACATTGTATGTCTCCATATTAGCTCTTAAAACGTTGTTCAGTTCTCTGAGTGATTGCACGGCGGCATCTATAGTGTCTTGAGAAGCCCGTCTGACATTCCCGTCACAGTGGTGTGGGGGAATATTGACTTGGCATTTATATTAAAGGTGGAAATCAAATAAAGCTCCAATCAAAATATACAAAAGAAGAAATTACCTTTTAAGAAATTCTGATTTGGCTATTGACGCTTGGCCGAATTTTGTTTTACATAGGTGCTTTAACGCATCCATCGACACAGTTTAAATCAAATAGGAGATGGCCTTTGATCTTGCCAGCCAGGATGAAACCGAGCTGAGAGGGATACGACGTTCCGGGAGAAACAGAGAGATACTTGATAAAATTTCTCTCCACACTCTAATCGAACTCTGGTCTTCTGAATGCGACTGCAAAGCGCCTAACCGCTACAACACAGACGCTTGTCACGTGGAAGAGAGACAAACGAAACGCCCACCTCCTTTAAAACAGAAGGCACTAGAAGGAGCAAAAAGCTGATTTTACACGCTTTTCAACATATCCAAACTTTGTGTGGCAGATAATGTAAAGCCTCAAACAAAACTGAAAAACATTAACAGCACTAAAATGTCCGAATCCCATGAACAGAAGGCGTTACAATAATCCTTATGAAACATATAAATAGGTATTCTTATAAATTGCTGATCCCATTGTCCCTCGTTACAACATCAGTCTGAGGGGATTCTTGTCGTGAAAAACGAGGAAAGTTTAGAGTTCTCATCCATGTGCCGGATGAAAATAGAATGTATACTAAAATGAAATACAACTTTTATTATCCACTTGGAAAGGTTTGATTCACAATGGCAAGCACATGTACTTTACAATAATCAATCAAAGTCAATTAAAACCCAACATCACACTAATACAATCTGTGCAGCGCCCTGTTTTTGACCAAATGTCATTTGCGTTTTGCTGAGGAATACACCACACTGGATCTGATCACCCACCTAAATGCAGAGTCATCGTCAAATGCCTGATATTATTGTAACCACTAACCACTCGGCCATGATGTCCTATTAAGTTAGCTAAGTTCGGAAACTTTTGCTACACACAAGAAAAACTTTACACAGCTCATGCACTTCAAATAGAAAACATAATAACACTTCGATTTATCTACTTAGTATCCCTGGTGTCAGCACCTTTCACACTGGTGTGTCTACAACATGGAGTGTTAGGTCAAGGGAATTTTGATGTTGTCGTTTTTATTGTTGTTGTTGTTGTTTGTTGTTAATAACTTTGTTGTTGTTGTTGTTGCTGTTGTTGTTGTTGTTGTTGTTGTTGTTGTTGTTGTTGTTCTATTGTTGTTGTCGGTGGTAGTGGTGGTGTGGTGTGGTGTGTTGGTGGTGCAGATGGTGATGGTGCTTATGCTTAGAAATAAATTAAACCACCTACAACGCGCAAACAGGTCATTCCAAAGATGGAATATTCAACTCTTTCCTAAAACTGAATTATTAAAAAACAAATGAAAGAAAGAGGACTGGTGGGATAAGCCTAGCACCCCCCCCCCCCCCCGGTCTCAAATCGACACAATCTAAATCAGTTAAAGGCGGGCTGTCAAGGCCAACTCAGACTGATAGGGACCCAATGTCCCAGCAGAAAAACTGAGATACTCGATAAAAATTCTCCCCACACGGGTATCGAACTCAGGTCTTCTGCATGTGACGGTGAAGCGGTTATGTATCACTGAGAACACATAGGCCTTATATACGCTTTCTGTTTTATCATAATTATAAAAGAAAACTGTCCCCTGCTCCTGTGGAGCAATGTTAGTTGTGTAACCCTCTATCCCCACCCTCTTTTTTTTTGCCCTCCTGTAACCACGCTGGGTTTGTTAACCATGAAGAAAGAAGCACTGAAGAATTAATATTGTAACAACAGGCGAGTTTGATGGAAAGAGAGGCAGAGGCAGAGAGAGGGAAAAGATACTGGACACATTGACAACATGGCAGGGAACAGCAAGAACGACAGACACCAACGCTGCAACGCAAGAAAGAGTGAAGTGGAGGTCCATGCTCGTCCACGCCATGACATTGGAGCTCGGGCTGGATCTGATGTTTTCCTGTTCATACCCAATGTCTTTTCTTTTTTTTAATAATCAGGCGATCTACTTTCAAAAGCATTAAAATTTACTCTCGTGAATAGAGCGGTCTGCTTTTCCAAAGTATATTACTTTCTCACTTTTTTTGGCAAGATATAATACTACCGTTCACACTGTTTTAAGACGAACGAACGGCATACAAATTCCATGGCAATTTCGGCAAGCCTATAGTACAACAGTGTCAAGTGTTTTGGTTAGTTTAAAGACAGAAGGGGTGTTACATGCAAAGTGAAAGTGCAATGATGATCATAAGCGGGGATTATGACCTGTTGAAAAATCTCTAAAGTGATAGAGCCGGGTTTTAAATAAAAAGTTGTGTCTTTTCAGTTAGAGGAAGGTTGCTTTCAATCTTAAAGAAAGAAAAATAGCTTCATCAATTCTTAGATTGTTTTTCTCCAGGCCATCATCTCTGCGTGACCCGCGTCACCGTAGTTTCACTGCTCATGGAATGACCCTGAAGTTGTTTCAAACGCTGATCACCCAGTCGAGCAGGACAGGGAAAGTAACAAACCAGGAACGAATCGGAGCTACCGCACGTCATCTAAGATTGTAACAGATTTTCGATACTATGGCACCATCCTATCCACCCGTACTGCCTCATTTTCTTCACTCCTCAACCCCCTCGACCCCCCCCCCCAAAAAAAACCCAGCCAAACGGACACAATTAATTAGGAGGCAAGCTAATTCAACCTCTCCACTCCTGTCAGGGTTTATCATGGCTAGACAGGGTGTAGCTTCCTAACCAAAAAAAACAGATGCTCAATAAGATCAGACTTCCTTATCAGAAATCGAACGCACATCTTACGCATAATACAAGGAGTCTAACAATTAGGACACCAGTTTGACCAAGTTCGCTACCACTTACAAGAAAGTGGCAAGTGACTAGCTTCCTTAATTAATGCTGGTACATTTACATGTCGTTTAAGAAGTATTGCAACGGAGAAGTTGGATACGAATTGCGTGTAAGGGGCTCGGAAGCTCACCAAGTAGAGTGTCTGTGTTTTAACTTGGAGGTCCAGAGTTCGATCCCAAACAGTGTCAGGTTTTCGTCCAACACCTCCTGATCTTAGGGTCGGTAGGACCGATAATCCAATCTTCCTTGATAAAAATTCGAATATTTTCGGAGGTCCATTGTGGAAGTTCCGCATGTTAAAGATATTTTAGCGATTCTAAAATCGGAAAGAATAGGACCTTTGGTCAGTGGTCCACCTGACATTCAAAATTAGATCTACATTCGTCTGCCTTGTGATAAAACCGGCTAACCCCAGCGAGGTAAATTTTATAGGAGAAGGAAAAAACTGTTTTATTTCAAAACAAAGGCGTCTGACGATAAATCAATGCTTTAAACACCTATAAAAACACTTTACTAAAAATCTGTAGAACTTTTTTTCCTTTAAAAATTGCTTTTAATGAAACTGTGTGGGTTAGACGGTTATGTCGCTCAAATTTTCCTTGATAAAACCGACCAACCCTCAATTTTGTGGGTTGACCGGTTTTATCAGGACGCCACTGCTGGCCTTGAGTTTGGTTGAGTGCAGCCAGGCCACACTTGATGGTAACGTATTTGATCACTTGCTTCAATCGTCAAGATCTTTTGTAGAAGAAGAAGAAGAAGAAGAAGAAGAAGAAGAAGAAGAAGAAGAAGAAGAAGAAGAAGAAGAAGAAGAAGAAGAAGAAGAAGAAGAAGAAGAAGAAGAAGAAGAAGAAGAAGAAGGAGGAGGAGGAGGAGGAGGAGGAGGAGGAGGAGGAGGAGGAGGAGGAGGAGGAGGAGGAGGAGGAGGAGGAGGAGGAGGAGGAGGAGGAGGAAGAGGGTGAGAAGGAGGAGGATAAGGAGAAAAAAGAAGGAGGAGTAAGAAGAAGAAGAAGGAAGAGGAGGAGGACTATATTATTGCTACCAACATACTATCAGCTGCTGCCATTTCAGTGCTACGGAGTCAATTCGGGCAAAAACAGCAGTCACAAAGTTTAACCTTTAATAGAAGTAGAAGAAGCAGAACACAGCAATGGGTATATTAATTACATTTAAAGTAGAAGAACAGGAGGTTGGAAGGGTAAGG